TCGGAAGGTTAGACGGGCGTCGACAAATTTTATCATCAAAGGTAACTATTAGTACCGAAAGATTTTATAATGAAAAAGAGAATTGACTCTGTTACAACCTGGGCCGTGTGCTTAATTCTATTTTTTTTTTTAAATATCAAGCTACGTTCACTGTACTTGTTTAGCTCCTATATCTGGATATGTAATTTGATCTTTTTACATTGAATTGCAGCTTCTTCTGACTTTCTTTTTTCCAATTAAAATAGATGACAGACTCTTCTACGTCGGCCCCAGTAGGCAGTACATCCGGCTAGTTGTCCTGTCAGAGGAAGAGAAGAGGTCTGTTCTTACGGAGTGCCACAATAACCCTGGGACTGGCAATCACAGTGGCGTCAGAGGCACTCAAAACAGGGTTATTGCTGGCTACTATTGGTCTACAATTATCCAGGATGTGAAAGAATGGGTAATGTACTACATATGTGGTACTTTATTTTCACTTCTACTTTTGCCCGTTTTGTTTTCTTTTCAAGTATCTATACTTAAGAATATGTACATTCTTGCCACCTCTGATTGTTAGATACCTCCTTGATTTAGAAGTTATATTTATTGTCATCACCAGCTTATATCAAGTGGCTGTTTTTCTTGACATTTTGTTACAAAAAAATTGTGTTGCTTTTTAGGTCAGATCCTGTCACCGCTGCCAGTTGAATGACCCCATCAAGACTGTTGTGCCAGTCTTGCATTCTATTAAGGTACTGCATACAATGTTTTAGCAAACTGATGAGATTAACAAGCTAGTCTCAACCTTGTGTACAGTTTTACCAGCATTTGATGCTAATTTTGTGCCATGCAGGTAAAAGAACCTTGGGAGGTGCTTGGTTTGGATTTGATTGGACCACTGCCAGAAACTGCACACAACAACAAGTATGTCCTTACCATGACTGACCTGTACACCAAGTGGGTGATTGCGGAACCTATGCAATCTAAGACGGCAGCTGAGGTGTCTGCAATAATAAAAAATCTATCAATTTGACCCATACAATGTATTGTTGGGTATTGCTACAAATATACCTGCGCTACTTATGACTGCTTTTGTGCTGCAGGGTCACATATATGTATTTAAAAAAAAAAATCTAATGTAGTTAAAAAAAAGTTTTTCGGAAACTTCATTCATTCCTATCCAGTCAAATTGACCCGTGAGGGAAGGATTTGTAACTTCTTGTTTTTTTTTTTAAATTACAACCACAGAAACTGCGTATCCACATTTTTTTGTGAACTTGTTCCCAATTCAAGTCCGACAAAAGTCATAAAGTCTCATACCATAATGATCAATGCTTGGTTTTAAAAAATAAACTAAAATCATTTCCGGGGTCGAAATGATCCTAAAAGGATTAGGATATGTATGTATATATGTTTAAACAAGCCAGCAGTTGTTTTTAAAACTAACTGTGGATGCACATTTCCTTTTCCAGGGTTTTCCTCAACAGTGTACAGGGAATTCCTGTGGCATCTACATGCTGATGGTAAGAATGTTTCATTTGTCAAAGCTGTTAAATAATAAAATCAAAGTCTTACAGTGTTATTTGTATTTCACAGTATGCTCTCAGCACCTGTACATCATGCCCACTAACATTCACAGAGGTAAGCTATATTTCTACAAAAATACACCAAACTACTTTTATGTGGCTTTTTTTGTTTGTTTTTATTTTTGTTTTGCATTCTTTTAGGAGGAGGTGCCATTGATTCGCCAGTGGTGGTGCATTCAGTTGATGGAGAGGTTTTGCCTTGAAGGGTATGACAGACTCTACAGATACAATTTCAGTATCTCGGCTGTATTAAGTCACTGTTGGCAAAGTGATACTAGAAAAGTCTTATACAAATAGAGTGCATATACATTTACATATTTTACAAAGGCATGGACAGAGATTTGCACACTGGACAGAAGAAGCATCCCAACTCCTTCAGGGAACCCTTGAGCCTGTCTTTAGGGTGTCAAAATCCACCACCACCAAACAGTCACCCAGCAGAAGAGTTGGGGTTGAAGAGGACACTGATAAGGTAAATTATTTTAGTGGTCATATATCACGGAGTTGCATGCAAGTTGGATAAATAGTTTAATTTGTTTGTGCCATTATATATTTGTATATTCAGGTGCAACAGCCTAGCATTGTGAGAGACCTTCATACAGCTTGGTACTGGGTAAACAATCACAGAGACTTATTCCATGGAGAGGTGACAGAGCCTGCTTTTCTGCAGATGAACAGTGAAAGTCAACAAAATGCACTCAGGAAGGCCCTGGGGAGTGAATTCCCTGAAGCAAAGGATGACTTTTTGTTCATATTTCCGTCTCAAGATGACATGGAAACATTTTTGTCATACTGTGTTGATAAACAAGGCCTGAAGGTCAATGCCATGTTCCTCAATCAGCAGTTGTAGTAGATGAGGGAGGGAGGGAATGAATGAATGAATTCATTCATGAATAAATAATTTGAAAAAAAATATTTTTGTGTTTCTTAGATGCAGACATTTGTTAAAGTATGCTGAAGTAAAACATATCTTTAGAAAATTAATAATTAAATGTAAAACACACACTTATATACTCATCTGTATTACCCAAATAGAGTCTAGCAAATGTAAACTATTTTTTTTTCTTTTATTTAATTTTACTGAATTTATTTAATTTGTGCACATTTAATCGATGTAATTTATATTAAAAAAAGGTGTATTTATATCAAGAGAATCACTAGTAAAGGACTACTTCCGGTACGGATCGGGTAGTGTCAACACATGAAAACATTACATTATTATTAGTATTATAACAACAGTATTATTATAACTACCCAAAATTGCCGTAAATTGTTTCGTCATACAGACAGGAAGTAGACGCATTTCCGCGCATGCGCAGTACAAATCGTGTTTCCGGTACGGATCGAGTAGTACTCTTCTTCTTCTTCTTCTTTTGTGTTTAATGGCGGTTGGCAAACCAGCTTAAGGTGCATTTCCGCCACCTACTGGGATGGAGTGTGAGGCCTCGATGAACGAACATATTATATACTACAAATATTTAAAAAAAATCTAAAATAAAAATACTAAATTCTTCTCATCAAATCTGTATCTCTCAGATATTTTAGAAGAAAATCATAAACCCTTAGATGTTTCTGTGCATTCTGAAATATATTCATAACTGAAATGTCATTGATTTCCATATCTCTTAGTTTTTCAACAAGCTGCTTTCTTTGACTATATGCCTTACAATGTAAGAGCACATGTTCAACTGTTTCTGTTATTCCACAGTAACTGCAGCTATCTGACTCACTTTCTCCTATTATATGCAATGAATAATTAAGGTTAGAGTGTCCTATACGGATCCTGGTTATAACAGTATCTTCTCTTCTGTTTCCATATACCTTTCTTTCAATCCCCACTTTCTGTTGAATGCTAAATAAGTGTCTCCCTTTTGACTCTTTATTCCATACGTCTTGCCACATACTTCCAACTGCTGTTTTAATAATACCTTTTACTTCTGTTTTACTTAAAGGAATTTCTATGTCAATCTCTTCTTTTCTCAATGCTGACTTGGCCAGCTTATCCACCTCCTCATTTTAGCGCTATGCTGTTTCAGCTGCATGCTAATATCTTCGTGCTGCTCATCCACTTTGACTCCGAGTGCTTTAATTGCGTCAAGGATAGCGACGTTAGACACATCACCAGTCAGATCATTTCCAATCGATTTTTTTAGCTTTTTTCCCACTTTGAGATTTAAACGGAGTGGATGGGTTGGAATCAGTTCCCCGTTCTCTTTTATCTGAAACTTCATCAGTGTCCATTGAGTAGCAGTGTTCCTCCATCTTCAAATTAGAAGCGATTACAAACGGAAAATTTATAGCAACTTGAAAATAGCAATGTCGGGTATAATGGACTAACACTTGAAGTTAATGAGTATAAACTCATCACTTTTAAGTAAACATGGGACTCATTTATGGCGCAGATAAAATGTTGACTACTCAGTCCGCCATCTTGCCTCCTCCCCACTTTTTTTTCTTGTTTTTTCTTTTTTTTCTTGAAATCCTTTATTTGGTTGTTTTCTTGCATGTCATTGAGAAATAAAACATGGATAACATCTAGAAAAATACTTACAAAAGGAAAATGACAACTATAAACTGCGGCAACTATAGTTGCCGGTGGGCTTAAATAAGTGAACTTTACATCATACTTTAAGTATACTACTATGTCCCTATTTAGGTATTGATTTGTATGTTTTGAATATCTGAACATACAAAACATCAAAAGAAAGAACAGGGTATCTGCTTGTAAACAAAAACATTTTATTCTAGCGTCATGCATTCTTTTTTATAAACACTTGAATGTGGGTAAGTTTCACAAATAAAAAATAAAGATAAATAACATTTTGAACAAAAAGCTGAAAAAAAACTATGAATTGGACAGTCATTACCTCTTCATGGGTCAACATTTTATTCCATAACGTTACACAGTTTTGATGCTGTTTTATGTCTGATCGTGTTAGAATACATGTGGAAGCATCTGTTGTGATTTGTTTTGGTTTCTTCTTCGCTTGTGTTTTGGAAATTCTGTACAGAAGATGTGTAAAAGCGCCCCCTACCATATAACAATGAAAACATGGATTCCCAGAGCACAAGTATAGCACAAATATATTTAGACTTATTTTTTAATGTCATTTTAATTATATTTCTGAGAAGTACATAAAGCACATTTCTGAAAAGTACATAAAAAGTAGACTGAAAGTATACTTTCCTATTTTTTAGTTTAAAAGAAGTATACTAATGGTACACTTGAATAAACTTCTTTTTCGTAAGGGTAGTAGTATTGCATCCTTCATATCTCTAAAGAGTCTTTAGTTTTATAAGATTTATAAAAGAAAGATTCAGCTTTACGGTTCTCTCCGAAAACAGCCGAGCTCTTGGAGGCGTGCCGTGGGCGGAGCTAAAGAGTCGCGAGCACTTAACCACAAAACACAGACATTTTATGCATTTTTATGTGCAGCCTTTAGTTTGATCTCCTGGACACAGATTTGAGGTAACATCAGCCTCCATATGATCTACTAGTCATAATGATTTCAGGAGTGTTCATAATAAATCAAATATAACATGTTATTTGTCAGGTAAGAACGTGCCAATTAAACAATTAAAAGCCAATTCAGAAAATATGCTGATTCTGAATCACATTGTAGCCACATGTCAATTCTATGCTCATGCACATGGATTACTGAAGCTATATGAGAAATAGCCAGGTGTTCCTCGTAGGAGACAAATAAATTCAACATAGTCAGTTCATTTCAGTTGCTAATCATGCACATGGGCCATTGGTGCTTGGACCCTGATGATTGCTACTTGTGGCTATATTTTTTTAATTGTAGAATTTGCTCCAGTTCTAACTTTTGACAATTTGATTACCTGATCAGCAGTGTGAGGTCACGTGATAATCATGTGTTAGTGACAATCATGTTATTGTTCTTCATCAGGGAGGAGGAGGAGGAGGAGGACGTGATGCTGACGGCTGTGATCCAGAGGATGGGTGAGAAACACCTTCAGTTCAGTTCATCAGAGACAGTGTTGCTTATCGGTTTTACTGCTTTAACACTGTGTGTCTCTCCAGAGCTCCTGACACAGACGGACAAACAGTCGGACAAATGCAGCAGGTTTAAACCTCTTCAGATGTTCAAGAAATCCAGCCGTAAGACTGAAAACACCAGCAGAAGAAAAACAGCTGAAGAACAGAGAGAGGCTGTAGACGTTTATTAGACGATGAAAAAGTAAAAACACCCATCAGGACAAACTGATGTTTAGTTAGCTCACTTCCTCATTCTGTGCCGCCTGCACCCAGTAAGGGTTTCTTGAGATAATGTTGCCTGTAATACTTCTGGCCAGAAAGAATGATGTCATGTGATTTCAAGGAACATATACATTTTTTTTTATTTTTTATGTCTACATAAAGACCAGCGGAGAACTTTTGCTTTGGAATTTAGAGGCTTATTAACAGACTGACAGATAACTTTTGAAAAAAAATTTTAATCTGTTTGATCTTAATTATATTCAGTGTCTTAATGTAGTAGGTATATCACTACACTGTAGTTTTGTGATTCCACTTGCCGTTTCCTTTTTCTGTCATTTTCATTCAATGGATGAAGAATCTTCTTGTGCCTGATGTGGATTTGCTATTTGTGAAACAGGCTAGCTGTCATCTGAATTGGAGTGAGTACATGCAGGGCTCGAATTGAGGGGGCATGCCCCCTGGTTGAAAAAAATGACAAAAAGCATCCCCTCAGTAAAACCACCATCCCCCCTTACCATCCCCTTTGGATTAATAATGTGTATACTATTATGTAAAACTTATCATGCAAATGAAATGTTAAAATTATCTACTTAAGATAATTCACGAATAACGGCGTCGGCCAATCAGAACTCGGTTCTGTAACAAGCTGGGCACAAGCGGAAGGTCATTTTTCACGCAAAATGATTCAAGCGCAACTTTTGAATTTCTTTAAAAAGAAGACAACAGAAAAGGTATGATTTTTCCATCATTAGAATTTAAAAACATTCCCCTGACATAATGTTATTGTGCTGTATGTGTGACTGTGAGGGATTGAGAGATGATAGGAGAGCTGACATTATC